CCGGGTCCCCCAGCCCCGGTCCCGCCGCCCCCACACGCCGGTTTGGCGGCCAAGCCCGAGCTCAGCCCCGGCCGGGACAGGGTGTTGGTTCAGGAGGGGCTGGCACTGCTGGGTGGCCCCGAGCTCCTGCTGCTTGTGGAGAGCTTTATGGTGCTCCCTACATGCAGGGGTGCCCGGACACCTTCTGCCTTTGAAGAGAAAGACTAGAAAGTTGAAAGATAATGATATGAATAGTCGTAATGCCATGAACGGGCTTCACACCTGTCAGTTCATCTTGAGTCACTCAGGGAGCAGGGATTAGTCCCAGTGTCACAACAATGAGCCTGCAGAGTCCTGGTGGTCTCTGGGCTCCAGGAGGAAAGGGTGGTGGGCATTTCTAGGCCAGGGCAGCTCTGAGGAGTGCAGGGTGGGTGTCCAGGCTGGGGTGAAGGGCTCTGGGGGGGTCACCCGAGCTCTGTGGGCCATGCCCTGCATGGAGCCTGGTCACATCCTGAAAGGGATCAGGGGGCTGTGGGGAGGCTGAGCTCCAGTGACACCAGGAAGGAAGGGAGCAGGAGTTCTGGGGTGACATGGGGTTTCCTTCTGGATGCTCATAGTGCCATAGTTAAATAATCTGGAGATGTGTTCTGAAATCTCTGTGGCTGGACTTGGGAATGGTGAGTGGCAGCAGTGACTCAACCAGCATGTTCAGGGAGAGCAGGTGGTTGTTGTTGTTGTTCCTAAAGGTAGCAGTGTGTAGTTTTGTGCATATGATATCTGTACCAGAGACAATATAGGTTGGTTTGTTAGTAAATAATTGAGACTGTATGGGACAAAAAGTGGAAATCTGCCCTTCTTATTCCCCTGCATTGTGTCCTGCAGTTAGATGGCATCAGGTGTTTGTGTCCCCTTCACAACTCCCTGTGTTTCACAGTTCTGCCTGATGCACCTGGTGATAAAGCAGAGGGGAAACAGGAGCAGAAGTGACAGTGTGAGGAGCTTTGTTCTCTAATAGTGTCCTTGCAAACAGACATTCTAAATAGCAAATGAGTGCTGGCTTCAAGTGAGGTATCAGTAAGGGACCATATTTACACAGGTCTGAGGTGTAAGATTTTCCTGCTCTTTTCAGGGCTGCAGCCTGTAGCAGTAATTCAGTCCATGGGTAAAGTTCTTCAGTCCATGGATACAGATCATTTCCCTGGGACTTCAAACCAGAAAGCCAAACTGGAGTATATAGCAGGAGTGACCTGGGTTACCTGAGCAGTCAGAGGTTGAACTGAAAGGCCTGGGTCTGAGCAGGACTTTGTGAGGCAGGCAGGGCTGTTTGCTGCTGACTGTTCTGTGGAAGCAGCACAGTGTTGTGGGCTGTTGGGGGGTGTTGTGGGGTGTGTGGGTAACAGGTCTGTTCCTTGCAGGCACTATGGAGGCTACGAGTACCCCCCGCCGAGCGGGCTGGTCCCTGCAGACATGGTGCAGCAGCAGCCCTACACTGGGCAGATCTACCAGCCCACACAAGCCTACACTCCAGCTTCAGCACAGTCTTTTTATGGAAGTAACTTTGAGGATGAGCCTCCCCTGTTAGAAGGTATAACTTCTGCTGTATGGCCCAAATCCAGCACTCTTCCCTATTTGGGGATGGGTTGAGTAGCAGGGTGTGCCATCCCTGCTTCTGGAAATGCACAGCCAATGTGGAACTCTTGTTAGTTTTTTTATTTAGCTATATTTTGGTGTATGAAATACATCTTCTTGTGTGAACTTCTGCAGTTCTAAATTTGTGCTGGTTTCTGGTGGTGCAAGTAATGCTTGTAGTGTCCACTCTGAAACAAAAGGGTGCAGTTATTCTCAGTGGATGCTGTGGTTGGAGCTGCAGTCTGTGGTGGCTGAAGAGGAATGCTGAGCCCTGCAGGAATGGCTGTGCAGAGGAATCAGCCTGGGGCTGTGCTCAGCTGGGGGTCCCAGCTTCTGTCAGTCATGTCTGGGTACCAAACCAGTGAAGAAACCGTTTCTCACTGGTGAGAGAGGTGTTGGTGATACTTGTCACCTCTGCCTGTTATACCTTCCAGCTCAGAATGTCTGGATGGAGACTTGGAATCCTGCCTAGCTGGAGGGAGTTGGGAAACTCCTTGTCATGAGACACTGGTTGTTAAGGGGTAGGTGGGGCTCTTAGTGGGCTCAGTGGCTGGTTTATGAAAGAGAAATCCACTGAGGGGATCGAGCACAGAGAAAGTACCTGGAACTAGAAATCCTTGAGGCATCAGTCACTGCAGACATGGGGAATTTTGGGGAATCTGCATGTCCTGTTCTTAGGCTGGTTTGTGCACATCTGCTTCTGGCCACTGGCAGGGACAGGGTGCTGGGCTAAGTGAACGTTTGGGCTCACCCAGAACACACACCCTTGTCTTTTCCAAGTGTTTGAGAGCTGGAATGTGTGGAGCAGTACACTCAGCCTGAGGAAAGATGGAATGATGCGATTCTTTGGTCCCCACAGGGCAGGAACTGCAGGACATTTAAAGCTGGAGAGGCAGGGAAGACCTGATAGTGCAGCAAATGGGGGGAGATGAAATAAATACACATCATTCTTTCCATGTAATTTGTAGAACTGGGGATCAATTTCGACCACATCTGGCAGAAGACACTGACAGTGCTGCACCCCCTGAAGGTGGCCGATGGCAGCATCATGAACGAGACGGATCTGGCGGGGCCCATGGTCTTCTGCCTGGCCTTTGGGGCCACCTTGTTGCTGGTGAGATACCAACCTCAGTGTCCTGGGTGTGCATCAGTATTCTTGGAAAACGAGGGGAAAAGCCAGGTGACCTCTAGGTTTATTGGCAGTGGCTCCTTGGCACGGAGGCCAAACGAGCACGTCCTGCCCAAGGGTTTCTGGCTGGGTGGAAGAGGGGCTGGGGCTTCACACACCACTGGGTGGAATTAAGGAGTTCCTTGTGGCTTTGCTTCAGGGAAGCTGGGATCCAAGTGCTTGGATTTTGAGTGGCAATGATTTAAATGTGATTCATACCTCCTTTCATCCTTTGCTTTTGAGGAATAGTCTCCCTTTGTTACAGAACGGGTGGGATGGATGTTCTCAGAGTTTAACCTGTTTGAGGTTTTACAGAGTGAGATGTTTTCCTTCCAGAATCATACCTTGTCCTTTTGCAGTCTGTTATCTTCTGTCTTGGCAGGACTCGGAACAATGGACTCAGACACATTACATATTTTAATATTTATTTCTTCACGGAAGAGTTTAATTTAATTTTCACTCTTCTTGTGTTAGTCTCCTTCTCTGTTTTGCTTCGTTGTATCTTTTTGCTCCATATTCTATGCATTGTTCTTTACTCAAGAGATAAGGGGACTCAGAATTCATGCATAAAAAATTATTTCATAAGTACTTGTACATGAGATGTGACTTTGAGCATCAAGAGTCCATCTGCTTTAAACCTGCTTTAACATAATTATACTCATTAATAGGTCAGTGGCTGTTGAAGCCTGATTCTTTTTTAAGTTGAGCTTAATTGAAATAAGATTGTGCTTTAATGACTCAGAAGTGTCAATTATGAAGTGACAGAGGAGCAGCAAACACTTCCTTGTCATTGAAAGTATCAATATTTGTTTTATCAGTTTTTTCTCTACATGTCTTCAGGTGCTGCTTTTAATTTCTACCTGAATATTCCCTTTGCTATGACACCTGGAGCACAGAGTGTTGGTGCTGAGGGCACTTGACACCTACTTTAATAAGTAGCCTTGATTTATGGAAACTGGGCAAGGGGATGTAATGAGCATGTTTGTAATAGATACATTTGAATGTTCTTTTCCTAAGAAATTACCACTTAATCCTGTGTGCCTTTTCAGTGCATTGAACATAGTGAGAGAAAACAAGCTTGCCCAGTAGAGAGATGGAGGCAGGTCTGGTGGCTTCCAGAGGTGTTTGAGCAGGAGGGCAGCTAGGGTGGGAGGCAAACCTGGAGGCTGCACACCATGGGGCTGCAGGGCCTGTGCAAGAACAGTTTGGTCAAAATCTGTTTGTGGAGATACATGAAGTAAGGATGGATGTGCCTCTTGGTTGCCTAGAGGTGTCCTGGAATTCTGGCTGTGGGAAAACACTGCCTGTGGAATTTGAATGTGGGAATTGGGCTGGGGGACAATGGAGAAAACAGAGATACTCTGTCCTTTGCTTGTGGGAGGTGTGACCTGTTCTGGTAACTAACAGGCATTGCTCTGCTTGCCTTCCAGGCTGGTAAGATTCAGTTTGGGTATGTCTATGGCATCAGTGCCATCGGGTGTGTGGGCATGTTCTGCCTCCTCAACTTGATGAGCATGACGGGCGTCTCCTTCGGCTGCGTTGCCAGTGTCCTGGGATACTGTCTGCTCCCCATGATCCTCCTCTCCACTTTTGCTATTGTGTTTTCATTGCAGTAAGTACATAAACTTTATCATTTGGTAATGGCTCCTCTCCTGTGGGAGGAAGTTGTTAAAAGGGATTTTCATATTCAGGGATGAAACTGTGTATCATTTGCACATGGAATCATAGAATCGTGACGTGGTGAAAGTTGGAAGGAACCTTAAAGATCAGGTTCCAACCTCCCTGCTATCAGCAGGGGCACATCCCACTAGACCAGGCTGCACAAAGCCAAATTCCATGACAGGAGTTTGTAATAAGTGTAAAAACATAAATATCAGTGGTCTCCAGGTATTCACTGGGGGAAAGACAAGTCAATACTAGTTTTATCTATCAGTCAATTAAATACATAGAGTCTAAAGAACAGTGTTTGGTTTTAGTCAGAAATTTTAGTACCTGTAAAATCTGAAAAGAATAACAATTTAAGATACAAATTTGAGTTTGACAAACAGAAGAAAATCAGAGTGATTCCTCATAGCTGTGTGAGATTAGGAAATGAAAAGAAGGAACTTGTTACAGTTTGTTACCCACCTCTTCGTGATACAGTTAATTTGGGGGTGTTATGCTGTCTTACTTGAATGATAAGGGTCTGGAGTCTTTACTGGAGCACTGTGTCATTTTAGATGTCAAAGGTAAAATTGATCTCAGAATCTGTAAGAGGTGTTAGAAGGAGCTCAGTTGTGACTCCTGTAAGAATACATACATGAGTCCTATATGAACTCTCTTCATTTCTCTCTGTGCAGGGGAATGATGGGGATTATTCTCACAGCTGCAATCATGGGCTGGTGCAGTTTTTCAGCTTCCAAAATCTTCATTTCTGCCTTAGCCATGGAAGGACAACAGCTGCTGGTAGCATATCCCTGTGCACTGCTCTATGGAGTCTTTGCCCTCATCTCCATCTTCTGAACAGACTGTCCAAACTGCTGGACTCCCCGTGGGCCAAAATGAAACCATCACCTGGGAACATTCACTTGGACCAGAAACAGCTGCAAACAGCTGACGGGTGTTGCTCTCACAAAACTTAGACCTGTTCTGAATCATTTGGAACAATGAAAACAAATGTCTTGTGTTCACTTTTTTAGAACTTTGGATACTGTTTTCAATTGACCTGAGGTGTCTATAGCTTTAATAAGTGTTCATGCTTATCAAGTTAATGTGATTTCTTTCCCATTCCTCTGTCTTCAGAAAACGGAGCTTTTGGTTGAGCCTTGGGCATTTTGTTTGATTATTATTTTTTTTTAGGGGAGGGAGAAGGTTTGCAGTTATAAATGGATAGATTTTTATCAGCAGAAGTTACCAACTGCAGGTGCTGCAGATTTGGGGCACTGTGAAGAAATCTGCAGTAATAAAGAACCTGTTTCCTGTCCCCTCTTACCAAAAGTAAAATGCACACATGAACACAGGCAGTTGGAGTATTTTCTATATTTTAACAAATATCCTCTTAAGGTCCTTGGTCTCATTTATTTGTTTCTTTGATGTGATAGTATTTCAGGATTTAAGATTCTTAAATTATGAATTAGAGAACAGATACATGAAAGTTAAAGGGATCTGCAATTCTGTCACACTTGAGATACAAATACATTTGGATGTCTAAGTAGCTCTAGGTTAACTTGGATTTCTGAAGATCAGTTAGAGTTCCATTTCCTAATGGTGCACACAATAGTATATGAAGAGTAATCTCTTGCAGTACTTCCAAGAAAAACACCATTTTCAAAATGTTATGCTTGTCAGTATTGTAGTTACTGTAAAATAATTTAAGGCATATTGATTAAATTTTCCTTAAATTTTGAAAAAATTGTTGATTTTTCTAATTCTTTTTTTAAATGGAGTTCAGTTACTAAAACAGAAACTTAAATTATTGAAGGGAAATTGTATTTAGAAGTGTGTTCAGTGAGTGGGTTTGATACTTGGCCTCAGTCAGGAATACTTGTCTCAGCTGAGGAGTGGAATTTCCTGGATGATGACAGGCACTTCAGGAAGTCTTACCAGCTTAAGGAGGGGGGAAGCAGAAATCACTGTTCTTCACACAAGCACTTGCTAATTCTTCAAATAAGCCAGAAAAGGGTACAGCCCAATTGTGACTGGTGCTGGGGAGGGGAGGCTGCTCACACACAACTCCCTGGGAATGGAAGAGCTCGGACCAAGTGGCAGGTTGGAGCAGTTTGATCCCAGGGGTTTGGTGTCACTGCCTTTCCCACGGGTGTGGGTCTGATGTTCACGTGTGGTGTCTGTGGAACCATCTGTTCCTGGATGCCAGGAGCTGATCACTGGTCAGACGTGCTGCCTGGAGCCCTGGTGTGACTGTGTGTGAACACCCCCGGAGGGAAGCAGTCAGGGTTCATCTCACCCACACAAGGTGAGTCAGTTCAAAGGCTCCACATTTCTTTGTTCACTTTTCTGTGAGTTCTGCACCTTTCCTAAAAATTCCTTCCTAGTGCCACTGGTAGGTTCTTCTTTGTTGGCCAGAGTCAACTTCTTCTCATGTCCCTGGGAGTCCTGGGAAGTGTCACACGAGTGTCAGCCCTGGAGCACCGACCTGCTCTGACTCCTGTCAGGTGCTGGGCTGGCTGGTACAGAGGGGCTTAGAACTCTCACATGCAAAACCTTCTGTTTCCTTCCACCAGTGAAATCAGGAGCCCAGGAGGTTCCCTGCCTCAACAGTTGACTACAAATGATCATCCTGAGCAGAAGTGGTGAGTTGATGTTACACAGCAAAATGTTTTACCCTGTACTTGGTGGCTCTGGTTTCTCTGGAGCAGCAGAGCACGTCTGCCCTGCTGCTGGGGGTTCCTGCTCCTTCCAGTGAGGAACACTGCCTGCTGATGGAGCACCACGTCCTGTGTTTCTGCAAATAAATTGCAGTGAGTACCTTTGCTAATGAGACCTAATTAAATACAGAATTGTTCTAGTGAGCATAAAAGCTCACTCACTTTGTTGAGCACATCAGGTTCTTATACTCAAATACTGTACTTTTGTGAAGGGGCTAATTGAGCTTACCTTGCACACACCAGTGTGGTTCCTGCCTCAAAGCTTGCACTGACTCTGGAGCTTCCAGGGTGATTACTTGCATGTTAAACTGTTGTAAAATAACCCTTTCTCTCACCACAGCATGAGCAAACTAAGTGCAGAGGAAAGACATTAAAATGAGCCTATCTCAGGGTAGCACTGGCAATACAGACCGTATGAGAAGGCATTTGTTCAGGTAAGGAAGTTCACAAGGTCCTTGCTCTGGCAGTAGAGGATGCTGCACGTTCTGCCTCAGCAGTGGGGTTTGACCAGGGAGGTTTCAGAACAATTTTATATTTTCCAGCTCACATTGTGGAGAATTTATCAGTGAATTTCTAACTGGTCTCTTGGGGGCAGAAGAGAAGCAGATGGAAGTAGAAGATCAAACACTTTCATAGAGGACTATAAAAACACAATGGTATGTCTAGACTGGTAGTCTTAAATATCCCTGATTTTGGGTAATTTAATTAATGTGATTCCATTATTGCCTTCCCAAAATCAATTCTATAGATTTTCTGTAATAATCCTTTGTCCTACATCTTCCATTTTAGTTACATTTCAGATTATTTAATCTTGCCATTACACAGAATGGCAGGATTGTGTGCCTCACTTCCTTAGTCCCACCTATTCCTTTCAAATTTAGTAGGACCTTTTTTCTTTTCCCTTTCTGAACCTGAGTGCTCCCCCACAGTCTGTTGACATCAGTGTTCTCACCAGTTCCCAGGTGCAGTGCTGCTGCCACCCTGCCCTGCCTCCTGATGTTTCTGTGTCACTCAGTTCACAGCATTCAAACCTGAGTGCTGGTGTTTCTTTTCTGTCACACCCAACCCTGAAATTACTTCCTATTCCACACAATTCTACTTTTAACCAAGTTACCTCTCCCAGTTGGTTGGTGTTTTGGCAGTGAGTTTGTTTTTTCAGGTCACTTGTTTTGCTGGGAGGCAGCTCAGTTTGTTTTCACAGGCAAAGTTTCTGTAAGGATCCACAAATCCCAGGCACATTAGCTGAATCAACAAGAGGAATATTTGGCCAATAACTAAGGCAAATCTGGACAAATATCCTCATTTACCAATAAACCTGGCAGGCCAGAACACTTGGCTGGTCCCCCTGCTCCAGTCAGCATCAGGGCCAAGCCATGTCCAGCCTCCTGAGCTGCACATCCACAGAGCACAGAGTTTCAGTGTTGACAGATCAATGCCAGCTCCTCACCTCAGAAAAAAACCCCAAAACAACAGTCTGAAAAGTCTGTTCATAGTTTTAGTAAAGGATTCAATCTTCAGAAGCAAAAATCCATCTAAAAAACTTATTGTATTGGCCTGTTCATGTTCAATTACCCAAGGAAGCTGAAGGTGATTTTGTCCTCATACCCCCAAGACAAACACTAAAGGCTCATGACAGGTTATGAAAGATTTTAATGAGTTCAGTGCCTTTTTATTTCTTTGTTCAATCTTCACTTTGTTAATATGAGTCAATCTCCTGATTGCTTTAGCAGCTAGTTCAAATGTTAATTGTCAGCAGGAGAAGATAATCTTGCACCTTGGCTCTGGTGATGTGGCTGCTTTGCTGTGGCAGAAGGAAGCATTTAAATTCAGGATGATTTTTCTCATTCCAGTGTTTTGTCCCAATTAAAAATCACTGGTTCAGACAAGATTAGGAGACCTAAAGGAGGTGCTTAACTGGGGCCAACAGCCTCACTTTCTGAAGTGAGGCTTCCAAACTGATCTCTGAAAATCAGACCTATGCCCCATTTCATCACCCTCCTGTGAGCACCTAGTTTGGTTCTGTCCCCATTAGGGGCTGGGCTGGGCACACGGGGTGAAGCCCCATTTCTCCCCCCCTGGAGAGCAGGCATTTCATCACCCTCCTGTGAGCACCTAGTTTGGCTCTGTCCCCATTAGGGGCTGGGCTGGGCACATGGGGTGAAGCCCAATTTCTCCCCCCCTGGAGAGCAGGCGGGACCCATCTGGTGGGGCTGGGGGCAGAGCTCTGGCTGCAGCCACCTGTGGAGGCTGCCTGTGCCCACGTCCTCCCCTGCTCTGGCTGCAGAGGGTCCAGATGGCACCTAGAGAAGCTCAGAACCTGCTGTAAAGGCAAGATGACCTCATGTCTGATGGACAGGTCTGACCTGGCCTTCAAAACTCCAGCTGGAGAAAAATGGCATGATCCCCCTTGAACACCTTGTCAGGGCTTTGCTAACTTTGTGATTAGAAAATTGTTCATGATGTCAGGCTTATTTCTCCCTCCCTTTAATGGACTTCATTATTACTATTCTATCCACAATAGACATGAAAGACAGCTTATTCTCTCCCTTTTGGCTGCAGCCTCTTGCATAACAGTGAGCTCATTCTCATTTCCCCTGTCATTCCCTCTTTTTGTGAGAAAACCTGCTTGACTCTGCCCTGCAATCCCCAAACCCACTTCTACAGGAAGGCTGCTGGTTGTTACCCATCTTGTCCAGAGGCACTGATGTTTCTTCTTCAAAATGGCATTGTACACTCTACTGAATTCCATCTTCTTAATTCAGATCATTTCTCCATTTATATGGATCGATTTGAGCTCTAATCCCATCTCCCAAGTGATTGCAGTGCCTTCCATTTCATTCTCATCTTTAAATTTCCTCTCCCAAGTTGATTAAAGTGGTGACTGGTGCAGACCCAGGGTGGGGTGTCTGACCTGCATGAACAGGGATGCAGTTCAATCCTCTGCTCACATTTCAAGCAATACAGTATTTTTTTCTGATCTGTGTTTGTTGTACATCACAATATCACACCTGCTGCTTCCCTGGCTTTAAAAAGACCAGTTACCTGTGGAAGAAGATAACCAGGCTTTCCTAACCTGCTTCTCCCTGCAGTTCTATATTGGCTGTTTTTCTTCTATTCCTCTTCTACCTAATTTTCTTTTCTGTATTTACAGACTGATTCTTTTAGTCATTTCCCAGCCTCCTGACAGGTATTAACAAGTGCTCCTCAACTCCCCCTCTCAAAAAATGCTGTGTGTGTTGCTCCGTGTGCTCCCTGGAGGAAGGCAGGAGGCTGAGGAATCACTCTGTCCCCTTCCCTCAGCATCCTCTGGCAGCTTCTAATAAGCCTCCACGGACCCACAATTTACAGGAACAGTCTTAACCTTCTAAGGGCTGAAGCACTGGGTCAGGGCTGGTGTTCTGGTGGGGGGTCCCATAAAAGGGGCCTGTTAACCTCC